AAAATTAAACCATATGTTGGTCAGGAAATGACCTAGTTTGTGTCGAGTGGACGTTAAACCCCATTTCTCTTTCTCTCTCTCTCTCTTGGCGGACCAAGCTAACGTTTACCGTTAGTCGCTGATGTCACTACCGGAAACTGGTGATGAAAGGCCTGCCAAGCGAGGCTACTATAGCCATTGAGCATGTTACTTGATAATCGAGAATATGTGGGTGGAGTTATCGTCTGTCAATCAAACGATCGCCAATTCTCATAGACGGTGCAGACACAATTGATGCCTATTTCTAGACCAAACTTTCAGCATTTTCTTTTTTTATCATTTTTTTTTAATTATTATAACTAATGCATCTTTAATAGGAAAGTTGTTGGTAATATGCAATACCAGTAATTATATGAGATAGAACGTAAAAGGTGATATTTTAATTAACAGATTTTGCAAAAAATATTCATTAATTATAAAAGACAGGAATCGGCTAGCTGGTAGAAGCGGACGTGAAAGCTAACTAAATTATTATACAGGTATTCCCAAAGGTATTACTATAATGCGGGTAGGACAGGGATTAGTGCTTCTTTCTGAAGTCAAGTTCTTTTTTCCCAAATAAACAGCCAAGAGAGAGAGATAGGGAGAGAGAGGTGAGAGAGAGCGAGAGAGAGAGAGATGAGGTTTAACGTCCACTCGACACAAACTAGGTCATTTCGGGACTAAGATATGGTTCAATTATATTTAGCAGACGGAGGAAACCGAAGGACACAGAGAAAACCTACGAGGTTGGACAGGCGACCCTACTACTTGTCACGTACAACCGCGGAATCGAAACCACGCCAGTTGACTTAATGACAGACTTTATGATTGAACGAACACACGCTAAGCATTCGGCCATCTCCACCCCCCCCCCCTCCCAGCCCACCCCTCTTTCCCCTTTAGTTCATTGAATCTTATTCTGATTAATGACAAAATTTATTAAAGGACATTTTGTAAATACATACACAGATACTAAAGTAGTTATGTCAACGCAGAAATTTAACACACAGCTAAATTGATAGTACGTGTTATCTCGCACGAATATCTTCATTTTCTGTTATTAAAAAAAAGTAAATAATTGGAGATGTTAAAATGTGGTTCAAATTCTTTTAAAATGACGAGGGCGAACATCCGTATACAGTATTGACAGATGTAGGTTTCATATTGATAGTTTTTATTTTAACGTACGATATCAAATACATAGAAAGGCTGTCGACCACACCATATGTTATCACTTCAAAAATATAATATATCCTTTTTACTGGAAAGTTGTCTATACATGTATTATGCTTAACGTACTGTGTAACTGAACCGAAGTAATATGTCCTTTTTACAGGAAAATTGAATATATATAGCTTATATAACATACTGTGTAGCTGAACCGAAGTAAAGTGTCCTTTTTACAGGAAAGTTGTATATATTATGCTTAACGCATTCTGTAGCTAAACCGAGGTTTATATTTTGTAGTCCTTATAGCTCGTTAGTTATGTCATGCAATTACAAAATTATCGGGTGGAAAATAAATGAATGATAGAATATGGTGTAACGTTCTACTGTTCGGTTAATGTAGACGAACATACCCATGCAATGTGCCATGAGGGAATGTTTGTCTGGCTCTTGAAATGAAATGAAATGAAATTGGGTTTAACGTCCTACTGTTCTGCTCCGAACTGGGCTAATAAAGAGGCGTATACACCATACAGTGTGCTGTGAGGGAAATTTTGCCCGGACAGCGGCGCTCCGGCCTACTCTTATATCGAATTCCAACTGTCAAGAGATCTTTTACGTGCACGCCTATGTGTACACGGGACCTCGAGTTTTCGTCCCATCCGAACGACGAGACAGCTGTCCTCGTCAGACCCTCCGTCCTGCATCTCCGACAAAGTGGAACCACGTCGGAAAATCTGGATGAACTTTCTCGGCCAATGCAGGGGTCGAACACCCGACCTCCAGGCCAGCGTCTTACCCACTTAGCCACCGTGATCAGGGATCCCCCTGTCCGGCGCTTATTTCTAATTCCAACTTTCAATGTTTCCTTTACCAGCACTCCAGTGTGTATACGGGACATTAGTTTTTCGTCATATCCGACGATTTGAAGCTGTTCCTTGTCAGGCCCTTGCCCTGCACCACTGACAAGGGGAAACCAAGCCGCAAAACTTTGAGGAAAATCCTCGGCCAACACCGAGATCGAACTCGGGACCCCAGGTTAGCGAGTCGAAAGTACAAAACTAAAAAGCAAAATGTCAAAGAATCCATCAAAGTACTCAAGTGTCTATGAATCAGACCGCCAGCATTCAATACATTAGAGGTAAACCCAAGGGGTAAGCGAAAGCGGAGACGTCAAAAATCATCTGAAAGGTCATTCTGCACACAGATAACTATCTATTCTACTTCGATAATCGATCTGTGCCCTAAATAGCTGCCATATCCAACAATAAGTGTATACTGTTTTGTAATGTGGTCCTACTCCGGTTCACATCTGCTAAACACAAAAACATTAATTAAATCTTTTCAATTTTATTAAATGGAAGTAGAATATATACGTTTCAAACTTCTCAAAATATTCTTAGTGTTTTTGACTAAAATCTTCGATTTAGGACTTAACATTTCTGTCAACTAGTTTAGTGTCTGTTCTCAAGTTAAGCTAATTGTAGACAGACAGTGTAGGTTTAGTATGCTGAAAAGTACGGCCATTGGTATCTCATGGACAGAAGTAAAGAAAGTAGTTTTGGACCCTAATCAGTGGACATCTACTGTGAATGGAAATCAAGAGACAAAGGAAGAAGTAATTAATTCTGTCAAGTTGCGGTTGGAGATATTTTTACAACACTACTACTACAACCTGTTAGTCCAGATCAAGAACTATGATGTCTCGCACAACCAGTAAAAAGTCAAAATATCTGTGTCTATACTATATCCACGAATATTGAAACCATCGTGTCTTTTTACAGAAATTAAACATGTATTCATAACATATGAGTTATTTCGTTATATTTGTCAAGGTACATTCCTTAATGCCACCCTTGCACTTTTATTGGCTTTTAACCTTGTATTGTGATATATGTCTTGTAGGTGGCACAAGCCTGTACCAGGGAGCCTTGTAATAATATATATAAACTACCGACGTTATGTTTGTACAACCTTTTCACTTAGATATATAGTTAAACATCTTGAGATGTCATAATAACAGTAAACAATGCCACGGGACTGTGGAGGATATTGCACCAGGAATATGTCATTTAATGCATTTCATGCCATGATGTCAAGGGGGTTGGATAGCCGAATGGTTAGCCCGTGTGCGCTGTTGCATAAGGTCTGTCATTGAGTCATCTGGCGTAGTTTCGATTTCCCGGTTGTACGTGACAAGGAGTAGGGTCGCCTATCCAACCTCGTTGGTTTTCTCCGGGGTCTCCGGTTTCCTCCTACTGCTAAAGACCCCTATGTTAGTCCCTAAATGACCTAGTTTATGTCGAGTGGGCGTTAAACCCCCTTTCTCTCTCGCCATGGTGTCAACTATTCAAAATGAGCAAGGTATTTCGAATGAACAGAAGTTCAGGACTGGACATATAAGGGGCAGTTTAATTCAGGCTCCCTGTTAGAGAGGGGGGACCCCGCCTTTATAAAAGAATGTTATAATTTAAAAATTAGTTTTATCATTAAACAATTAACAAAGTTCGGTTGTGTGCACGGATGGTGGTAACGGGGTGGGGTGGGGTGAGGGTAGGGAGTGGGATGGGGTGGGTGGGGCGTTAATACATAGTACATAGAAAGACATTTATTCAACCAGTATAAATAAAACTAAGAAAAAAACCAAAACCAGACGCCTTCTATGAAACCTAACACATGTTTTCGAACTAATGCAGTATATTCATTAAAGTTCACTTGTTAATTTGTCTAAACCCGGTCCTGTAGTGGTTTACCGAATTTGATCCGCAGCGGAAAAGTAAAGAGTATAACTACAACACAAAACATATTAGCCACGCACAGGCAGCCACCGCAAATTTGGATATAGCTGTCATAACTACACTTCCATTCATTCCACTGAACACTTTTAGAAAGTTCCAGACTAATATTCAAATCTATACTACCTAGAATCTCACTTGAAGTCGCTCCTCGGTATGGCTGACGAAACCGGTGTTGGGTGCATAGTTGGGCAACAATAGAGAAATTCGAGTATCCATAAACTTGTCCCAGCACCCTACCACCCAAAAAATCAAACAGTCCCATAGCTATATATGTGAACTTCTCAAATGAGAATCGACATGGGGAAGACCGTGTTCCGTGCAGGACACAGCTGCTACTTCAATGGGGCGATACGTAGGGCTTGGATTTTATTTGCCTAGACTGTAAGATAAGATGTTTATTGCATCAAGTCGTCCATTAAAGACAAAATGCATACACGTACATTTAGACAGAATCATATATATAATCTAATATACATTACATAGAATACAAATACATTTATTAATTGATAGGGTTTTCATACAAACATTTCACGTGCGCGCTGTATCATAAGATCTGTCATTGAATCAGGTGGCGTGGTATCGATTACACGCTTGTACGTGACAAGAAGTAAGTCGCCTGTCCAAACTCGTAGAGTTTCTCCGGGGTCCTCCGGTTTCCTGCCATTGCTAAAGACCCCTACGCGCAAGCGAATTATTAAAATAAAATTGAACCATGTTAGTCCCGAAATGACCTAGATTGTGTCGAGTGGACGCTAAACCACATTTCTCTCTGTCTCGTTTAATATATATTATATAGCATACAAATACATGTATTCTATGATATGGTTGTTCATACAAACAATAAATAATACGCTACATCAAGACATCCACCAGGACAACATTAAGACATATGAAGCTTTATCCCTGATGTCCAATACTGTTACGAAAAGTGAGAAAGGGAGATACATATACTAATTCATAAAACTAAAACCAAGCAAAATGTATAATACATTAGTAATATTAATATGAACTTACCTCGCCATGTGCTGTGGGCTATATATCCTCCGTAAGTAAAAACAATAGACTTCACATGTGTTATTTATATATACAACTTCACAATTTTTACAGACATACGTCGTACAACTGGGTGCATCTAGTTTACATTGGAACACAGAAAGATGAAGATAACCTGCTGTTTGTAGTCAACACAAGTGGGTTGGTCTCTTTCCATCCTACATATCGTACATTTTGAAAAGTGAGAAGCAGTTAAATATAAAGAGTTTGTAATATGGAATCAGACCACTATATACATATACTGACGTGCAGGAATATTATTGACTCTGTGGACGACTTGACTCGGTACCTTGTAAACGGGACTCTGCTCTAAGCTAAATTTTATATGGAATAAGACCACTATATACAATTTGGTGTACATGAATATTGACTCGGTGGCCGGTGTACGCTGTTCCTTGTAAACGGGACTCGAGTCGACTATTTATCAATTTGGTTCCTGTTTTCTCAAGGAACTTATTTCATAACAATCCAGTATTGATTTAATCGTCTTGTCTTGCTTTTATACGCCTACATATTATTATAGGGATATATATCAAATTGTTCATTTGATATTAATTCAACTCGGTATGTTACGTTATTCATGAGATCACGGACGAGTTTAAATTTAAATTATACGCCGATTTTGACCAAACTTGGAATGTGTAAAAGCGCTAAGAACATGTAGTACACACATTGGAATCTACCATTTTCATCCAATTTATTCGGAACTTGCTATGTGCTTTGGGGGGTGGGGGGGTGGATGGACGAATGTTTAGCGCATGTCATTGGTTTCGATTCCCCGGTTGTACGTGACAAGGAGTATAGGGTCGCCTGTCCAACCTCGTTGGTTTCAGCCGGGTTCTCCAGTTTCCTCCCACTGCTAAAGACCACTACGCGCAAGCGAATTATTGAAATAAAATTGAACCACATGTTAGTCCTGAAATGACCTAGTTTGTACCGTCTCTCTCTCTCTCTCTCTCTCTCTCTCGCTCTCTCTCTCTCTCTGTGCTATTATCAGCTATAATGATATACCCGTATGAACCCAGTTAATATTAGTATCATTACCCTTCGCCTTATTCAATTCAAGTCGTTGCTTTCTAATGCAGTCTTCAAATAGGTCTATACCTGAAGTGGCGATCGCTCGTTTTCATTGTCTTCATGAAAACCTCTAACAGAAAGCTTTCTAACAATGCAAACTGTTTATTATTAAAATAAATCAGTCTTAGCTTTATTTATTTACATATTTTTCCATTTAGTTTTTTTTTGTTTTATTAGGTTTATATAAGGCGATTATATACTGTATAGTATATTATCTTTGTCTACTGTCCTCCTTGTCTACAGTTGTCAAGGCTAAGTTCCTTATGTTTTATAACCGAACAACATCAGTTAACGAGTCAAGCCTCTGGCACCGACCACATGACAGCAATAGTTTTACTATCTTTTTTCAATATGGGGTAGGGGGGCGACCTTGACGAAAATTGAGCTGGCCTTAGCAAAAAGATTTAGCCAGTAGGGGAGTGATATATATGCCCGGTGGCGTTGCATTGTCACTTCCTGTTTCGGAGTTTTACTAAGGAAACGTCACAGGGCTGTACCAGTGTAACGCCGGATAAACAGCGATTAATAATTATTTATCATGTTATAAAAAGAATAACGCATATAAAAAATAGACCATACATCTACTTAACATGTTGTGTTTCTCATTAGCAAGTGCGCACTGTATGATATGGTCTGCCATTGAGTCAACTAGCAAGGTTTCGATTTCCCGGTTGTACGTGACAAGGAGGAGGGTGGCCTGTCCATCTTCGTGGGTTTTCTCTGGGATCTCCGGTTTCCTCCCACTGCTAAAGACCCCAACGCGCAAGCGAACTATTGAATTAAAATTGAACCGTGTGTTAGTCCCGAAATGACCTAGTTTCTGTCGAGTGGACGTTAAACCCCATCTCTCTCTCTCTCTCTCTCTCTCTCTCTCTCTAGTGTATGGCGTATGCCCGTCTTCATTAGCCCAGTTTAGGAGCAAAACAGAAGGACGTTAAACCCCATTTCATTTCATCTCTCTCTCTCTCTCTCTCTCTCTCTCTCTCTCTCTTTCTCGCTTTTCGATATTGCCTTGTTTTCCAGCGTTGTTTCTCCTCGTCATTGGTGTCGGGTCGAGGTATGACAAGGAAGATTAAAGGCGTCTAGTCGTTAAGATGGGATGAAAAACAAATGGAATTCGGTAAAGATTAGGGAAAATGTTCCTCATAGCACACTGCATGGTAAGGAATAGTAGGACGTTAAACTCATTTATTAAAATGACTGTCTTCTATAGAATTTTTTAACATGGGTGTAGGTTTGGTTCAGTGCAAATGTCTATGTACATATCATATTCTGATTTTACAAAGGAAAAGTAAACATTTAAAAAGGTGCGATCACCTGTTCAATATTGTTAAAGAGACTGGAGTGGTACGCCCACTTTAAGGATGTTTGTGTGTATTGTGTATTCAGATGATAGATATTCATCATGGCCAATCCTTACATTAATTAAGTAATTATCATAAATATTCATTACTTTGTTATAGTTAAGGGCGCGCGGGGGGGGGGGGGGTCTTTGAATATTTCTGATGCGGTTTCATACGTATTTGTTTTAGATAAATCATGTAGGGCCATGTTAGTCTAGTTGTTCAGATGGTACGAAAACCGGAGGTCCACTCGTGTACATTTTGGCGCCCAGTTAGTTTGTAATCGAAGATCATTAGGCGGAAACGCAGCTGCCTCGACCAAATTATCCAACCTCACATTACAAACATCACGATAGAAATACAAATAATCATTTGTTTGTCTCAAAGGGGGTTGGATAGCCGAATGGGTAACACGTGCGCGTTGTATCATAAGATCTGTCATTGAGTCGAGTGGCGTGGTATCGATTACCAGCTTGTACGTGACAAGGAGTAGGGTCGCCTGTCCAAACTCGTAGGGTTTCTCCGTGGTACTACGGTTTCCTACCACTTCTAAAGACCACTACGCGTAAGCGAATTATTGAAATAAAATTAAACCATATGTTAGTCCCGAAATGACCTAACTTGTTTCGAGTGGACGTTTTACCCCCCCCCCCCTCTCTCTCTATCTCTCTCTATCTCTGACGGGTTAACATGTCAGATGCAACAAGATGAAAAATAGGCCACTATTTATGTTTGAACCAGCATCTAGCTGGTTCCATACACTTGTTCTTGGGGTGATCTTCTTCAACAAAAGCATAAGACTCGAATTCTTGACAATTGCGTATCGATGGACGGGATTCGTTTTTGATACAACTCCAAGATGGCTGTTATGACGCCATGGTCTGTACACGGTTCATAATATAGTACGTTTGTACATGTTTCCATCTATCGATGGACGGACTTCGTTTTTGGTGGTTGTTATGACGTCATGGTCTGTATACGGTTCATATAGAACGTTCGTACTTGTTTACATCTATGCCACTTGTTCTGATATAACGTCACAATTCCAAGATGGCAAGGCCTCATGATATATTTATGGTTCATATAATCCGTTAGCACTTGTTTGCACCTAGGCTATTTATTTTGAGAAGTTTCAGATATTGTAGATAACTTGATCTATATGTTCCATCAAAGCATTGATTAAATAGTTTAAAATTATTTTCAATAATACCATGCTGACATTAATTCCATTCTGTAAAAAAATTATAAACATCTCTAAAATAAAGTACCTCGCTTGAAATTCAAAACTCCTCATCACCAATATCATTTTTCTTTTTACAAAATCCTTGCCAACATCACTCTTTCATGGAAGACGATAAATTTATCGAATAATGATCAAGCCCACCATTACTGTGACACAGAATGCATAATGACAACAACGCCGGCCTGTTTTTTTTAAATAGGATTCATGTGCAAGCAATTTCTTAATGCGAAATCTTTGGAGTAAGAGACGTTTCTAATCGAAGCTTGTTGTAAGTTTCATGGTGCGGATCGTGTGTCTTGAACAATAATGTTCTTCAGGATTTACTAAATTCAAGGAACCCGATCGATAGTTTATCAGTAAATGAGGCAGTGATTGAAGCTTCAGACATGTTTTTTTCAGAGATTTCTGAACCTGGGCATGCATGATCAAGCTTACATTCGAAGGCAGATTTTGTTTTTGATATCAATATACTACTACTTTTGATTTTATGTAGACTAGAAAATGACGCGATAGCTATGTTAACCTCTCAATAAATAATAAATGTAATAGGATTTAACTGCCCACTCTTCAACACCGACCGAGATAATGAAATAAAGGGGGGGGGGGTCGAATGGTTGACACATGCGCGTTGGATCACACGGTCTGTTATTTAATCAAGTGGTGTGGTTTCGATTCCCCATCTGTTCAACCTCGTGGGTTTTATCCGGGTCCCCCAGTTTTCTCCCACTGCAAAAGGCCCCTACGCGCAAGCGCATTAAATAAATCTGAACCATGTGTTATTCCCGAATTGACCTAGTTTGTGTCGAGTGGGCGTTACACCCATCTCTCTCTCTCTCTCCCCCTCTCTCTCTTTCTCTCTCTCTCTCTCTATTATGTTGTAGATGAACGGTTAAACTACACCATTTTCATAACACGATATAACACAACACAGTTCTATGGATAACAAGCACTATATTATATACTGAGCGCCATGGAAAACGCATCACTTAGTTTTTCGTATAACAAAATGATCCTGTAAACATATCTTATTTATTTTGCTTCTTATTTTTAACAATATTCAAATGGGAACACATCAATAACAACACATTTGTACACTTATGGATGTTTAATCTGTAATCAAGGGTACAAAGTCAGAGGGGTTAAAACCAAAAGTACGACACAGATGTCAGTAGCGCGTGTGTCCTCCACGGGCCATCATCACGGTAGGCTACAGCATTAACGCGACCCCTGTAAATGTGTAGGACGGTCCGGTGATGAAATGTGAAGCCTCCCCACACCATTACACTTCCCCCACCCCATCGATTCGTTTCGAAGACGCAGCAGTCTGCAAGACGTTCCCCAAGACATCTCCACACACGTTGAAGGCCATCAGCGTGATAAAGGTGGAAGCGACTCTCATCACCGAAGAGCACACTTTGCCAGTCTACTCTTCTCCATGTCTGGTGTCCTTGAGCACATATCAAACGCCGCTGACGGTGATGATCCCTGAGGATAGCTCCAACATAAGG